GTGACTATTATTATTATTATTATTATTATTATTTAAAATCTATAGTTTAATTAACTTAATGGGATGTACCGTCGGATAGTAAACTTCGATCGAACTTCTTTAGATGATGATGCACTTCGGACAAACTTCTTTGGAAGATGATGCGCTTCGAATGCACTTTGAATGAACTTCTTCGGACGATGATGCACTTCGAACAAACTTCTTTGGATGATGATGCGCTTTGAATAAATTTCTTCAGATGACGATACCCTTCGAACGAACTTCTTTGGATGATGATGTACTTCCCTCGCAAAGTCGATGGCCTCCTCGTCTCCGTTGACCTAAATATCTGATTGATTATAAACCAACACCAGAATGAATCTTTTTTTGTCTCCCCCTTTGTTGGAGTATATATATATCCTTTGCCTTCTTCATTTCTTCATACATCCGATTATGACATACAATTTATATCGGACGATATCGAAACGTTCATCGGCGAACAAATACGGCACCAAATGTATAAACTGGCGCTTCTTGTGTGAGCTCATCATCTTCATACATCGCGAATGCGCCTGCCTTTATTCGTCATACATACTGTAACACTCGATTGAAAGTAGGTTACAGTGAACAAAAGTTTAAGCTGTTTGCATCATGTCTTTGTTCTCTATTGGAAACTGTACCAAAGTTTAGGCGTGCTCGATCACTAATGGTTGTTGACCATCGACAGACTCCGCAAAGCCTGTAAAAGTGTGTCACGGGATAAAAATAATTCAGCATCACAGTGTGGGCATAACGTACGCGCCTGTTTTTGTTCATCAACTATAACCGGGCCAAAGTTTAACCGAGCTTGGTTACTGTTATCATAAGATTTAACAGAAACATGAGGCACCAACTATGTCTTTTTTCGTACGCTTTGCATGTTTTGCTATACGATACAGAGATTTCATTTGTTCACCTTTACTTTTAGTTAGCTACTCTCTGCACTGATCTGTCTGAGCCAGTGCGACTTGACGTCTTACATAGTTGTTCTTCTCACGGAGAATTTTGTGGTCATCAACAGATTTTGATTTTTGCCATTGCTTGTATGCAGCTTTCTTTTCAGCTATTGCATTTTGTACACTGTCATTCCACCACCAAGTGTCCCGTTCATGCTGGCGTTTTGTACCAGTTTTCCCGCAAACTGTAGTTGCAGCGTTTATCAAAACCATTTTGTATGTACTCCAAACTGTACTGGATTGCGATTGTTGGTCTAACTGTGTGGCGACAATCTGTTGAAATTTTTCTCGATAAATATTGCTTTTCAGCTTCCACGTTTTGATTTTTTGAGGCATTTCTCTAGACTTATGTTTTGACAGTTTGACAACCAGGTCTGCCACAAGGAGCCTCTGTTGGGCGACACATGATTCGCCACTTTGACATTTTTGAATAGCCTTTGGTGCTGTTGCTTGAGGGCGAAAAGTTCAATTTGCGTGGCTGATGGTCCACTTTTTTATGTTATGAGATGTTCCAACCTCTTTCTAAAATATTTGTTCAGTAATCAGGATTGTTACAGATTTTGGTATTGTTGAGATGGTGTCAGAGAACGCAGCCCAGAAGTCATTTTTCATCTCTTCTGATTCGCCTGTCTGTGGTGCGTATGCAGAAAAAATAGTCATTGTTTGCTTTTCTAGGCGAATCTTGATCCACATGAGACGTGAGTTAATCCTTTTAATATCCAGTACTTCTTGGACTAGCAGTTTTTTGACAAAAATTCCAACACCATTTTTGGTCGTCTTTTGATCATTCCAGAATAGTTTATAATTTTCTTTGTCTGAGTTGATATGACAGACACCATTCGATTTCCATCGGGTCTCCTGAAGGCAGCAGATGTCAATCCTTCTACGCTCGAGCATTTCTGCGATTTCCATGCTGCGGCTAGTCAGTGATCCAACATTGAGCGTTCCAAGTCTAAGTACCATAGTCGCCATTCTTAAATTTTCTGCAACATCTCGCCGCTATTGCATACTTTCCAGGAATTCTTAGCCCCCCCTTGACCACTTAAGGCCTGCTGGGGACTAGGGGCCGTTGTTTTTTGTGATGGCATGGAATAAATTTTGGGGAAACTTTTTACATCCGGACACCCATTCTGACGACAACCACCAGTTATAAGCAGTGGGCCTAGCCTTTTGCTCAAAAGCACGCAAGGCAGCGTGGATGCAGTTTTATGTCATGCCCAGGACATAATGCTAATCACATAGCTAAGATGACTTCTATGTATCTGAAATAAAGTTATTTCAATTTTAAACTTTATTCCTTAAAAAACTTGTAGCAGTTTTATACGTTTATGATTTATTTTAAACAAAAGACTGACCATGAAAACTGTTGTAGCTAAAAATAATTTTATTAACCAATTAATTATTTAAAATATTTTTACATCGAAAAGCAAAATGTTGGAAACAAATCATTGGTCAGTAAGTGAACATTTAATAAAATATGATGC